AAAACAAAATAGTCCATGCTTATCAACGAAATCCGCTCTGTTTTACAGCTCGTGGACGGCTGACTGACGTGAACGTTGACGTCAAACGGGGACAACACTGATCCGACTGGACAAACTTCGGAGACCTCTCGACATTCCTCGTTTCACTGGAGTACAGGGAGTAAATTTCCATCATAGCAGAAACTTCGATTTGCTTTCGGGCCAACTGACATAGATCCCTAGAAGTGAATTCTCTAGGGTCGCGCAGGATAGTCTATAGTCCTCAGTACACTTGACTGAAAGCTACGGGTAAATGTCCAGTATTTTGCTGAGTCATCGTCAAAATGCACCGTCTCCCGTTTTGGGAGGTTATAAACTGATGAACTGACCCTTCGGATGAAGAACGTACCTTTGGGCTAATTTTCTGGAGGTCTGTTTTTGATATCAAGCTGTCCGCACCAAACTAGAACCCGGAGCTAGGATGGCGATGGCAAACCATCTAACCACAAATTCAAACCGAACGAGTGGGTGGGTAGGTGTTGAGAGAGTAGAGGACTGATAATGATCAATGCATGCGAGTTCGGCTGCTCCCGGTTGATTATGCACACCCGATTCACAAACAACACAATTTACACTGTCCAGCTTAACAACTACGTATTTTCCTTGTTCGTTTACTAAGTGGTCATACATTTTTAGACGAGATTCTAGTTCAGTACTCCTAGCGTTAAATGTGTAGAGCTCACCAAACAGCAGATTTCATCGCCTCGATATCATTTACAGCCTTGGAGTTACTACTGAATAAATCTTCGTCAGATCCAGTGAGTCAATCTAGTCGACTTTTGTAGCAATAAATGGGTGATGGCAGTGGTAAACTGGAAGTTGTCAAGGCTAGTCTCACGCACGGCCTGGGTGGACGCAGAAAACACAGTAAAGGATGGGGTACTTTATTTCCGCGTGAACCGTGGTTCTATAGCAAAAGGTAATCAATCGTTAAACGATAAATTCAACCAGACTTACGACTAGGAGGTCACTTTCCTCCAGCCTACGGTACTTGAAACGCAGTCTAGGAAGCAGGCAGTTTAGGTTTATAAATCTACCAATAGATACATGACTTGCCACTTGTCTAAACAGCCTAAAGTATGAATGAATCGAATATAAATGCCATGCGATTGATATATATCATACTTTCCCGAAGTCTCATTGGTTTAATGTTCCGTAGTTATTTGTATCCAATATAAATCCTGTTACCAGTTATTGCGCACTACATATAGATACCCTATAAATAACCATTGCAAATGGCTGTGTGCGCTCTGCTCTCTCGTGCCCCCATGCGCTCGTGACAACGTTCGTGCCGAGAATGGAGTCGATATTAGATAAGAGTCCAACCCTACGGAGACTTACGAAGATGATATATGAGAATTTTGAGGCATTTCAGGCCGATTTTTGTGATTTTCAAATGGAGACTAGTAGTCAATTTTATATGTACAACACGCAGAACACAGACGCCTGGGATACAGAAACTAGAAGTGAACTCAGGAAGGGATTTTCTTGTTTCTTCGTTAAATACTGTTGCGTTCATAGTAAAACGAAATGCGGAGCACACGCACTGCACACAGTGCATTAGTTCAAATTAACCGAATATGTTTCGAAACGTAACTATCCTTTATGAAATGGGGTCTTCCGTCTCGCGAAAGAGATTCATCTTGCATGGTCATAGTTTTCAGGCATGTAATCCGTCGTTTTATGTGAAGAATAGGCAACTGAAACCTGAGCAAGAGTTCTGGTGCACGATTTGATGGGTAATTTTTAGAGAAACACGTGAGTTACAGCTGTATGTCTTCAACAAATATGGTCGTTAAATGAATACACACGATTTGCGCTCCATTCGCCTCACGCTATCCCGTCATGGAAGAGTGTCAGTAGTATATCGTTTTAGCAGTATAATAAAGGAGCATGGTGTCGATAAAATCGAATATGAGAGAACGGCTTAGTTTGGTCACTTTTTTTATCCCTTAATTACACCACATCCCTTGGATGGCGTTTCACGTAAGTCACCTTAGCAGATATCACCCACCAACTTAACTGCGGTGGATATGTGCTTTGAAATGTCATGTTAAGGGATGAGATTAGTGTGTGCCGTAGTTTTTTCTATACCATTCTTCCGAATGAGAGTGGTGTATGCTACGAGGCAGCGCTTGACTACATGATGGGGATATTGCCTCAGGTAAGAATTGTAAAATAGTGTAATTGTTGATTGTAGCCTTTCACAGTTCAATGCGTTCAAAAGCCGACTGCCG